TTTAGTAGATTTAATCAGAAAATTCAGATTCATCCATTTTCAATTAAAATTAATTCAATTAACCAATCATTTTTTTCAGTATATCCACAGTCATCAAGATTTAAAAAATTTCTAAACTTTTTCATTTACTATGACTCACAATCACTCTGATTCATAATCAATTCTTAATATATTTGAAACTGTTTTGAAGTGTTATGGATAGTCTTAAAATGTTATGGATTAATCAGAAGTCATATTAGCATCTTAAGACAGTCCTGAAATAAGAACGGCTTATGAATACCGGTTTCAATCACTCTCACAAATTTTTTTGCGCTCACGCGCGATCGTCAGTCTTGATAAATAATCTGAATTATTATATCCCTCGCGGCGTCTCTGCTGCAACAGCTAATAAGCGGCTGTCGATCTCGGTTAATCAAGATCCACGTATGTTCGAGATTCCAGTGGAAGTCTTCGGGTCGCTTCCTTCTTCATGAGGAATGTAAGAAAAGCGGAATTGCTAATCGTGCTTTATGCGTGTCATTACGAGGGTAATATTCTCCAGATTAGTTGGAGGTATCAAAATAAAAAAAAATCTTTGTATGGGGGAAACCGTGGCTTTTTCCCGTGTGCATTCCTTGCGTAAGACTAGAGCACTGTTTAACGCCAAGTTTTATGTGTCGAGCGAGTGTCGTCGTGGATACGATATTATTGCTCGTGGATCGTGCTGTCAAGACGAGAGCACGTTAAGATCACGATTTGCGAGCGAACGCTATACAATCCTTCCGAATATGATGGACCGTGATGACACGAGCTGGTGAAAGGTGCCGAGAAATTAGTACGTACATGGCACGGTACCGTACATTCATCCATGTTTTCGTATTCACCAGATGCGACGTTAAGATGGAATCGTAGGAGATGTATAACTTTAGTAACGTGTGTGAATTATCGCGATTACATTGATTGATCGCACATTGAAATATGTTACATCAGCCTGACAAAGGCATTTTAGACAGGAAGATATATACTGACAGACATATTTTATGTATTTCTTGTATATATGGTTATCACGTACAATCGGTTAAATTGGGCAAAATATATTAATAATTTGTGAATAATTCTGTTTTTTATTTTTAATTTCCGTCTTGTTTCTTTCTTCGTAAAACTTTTAGAGAGTTTCTCATTCTGAAGAGTCTCATTCTTAATCTCTCATTCTTAAAGATTAAAAATTCTTTTTCAAGACTGGCTCAATTTTTACTCTTTAGAGTGAGATTCCACTTTAAAGAATTAAATATATCCTATATATCAGTATAAAAATATTATATTTTTTTCTCGATAAAACAAAGTATATCCTTTTATGATATAGTAAATTAATTTAATTGTTACACTGTGAATTTAATCTTTGAAATGTAATTTCAATCGAAATCTAATTTCTAATCGATCTGATCATCACTGTCACGACGAATCATAATGATCATAATGAAAAATGATGGTAATTAAGATAGTGCCGCGCTGTTATGACAAAGTGATCATCTGTGAGTAGCATAATCACGTAATAACAAATAGCCAACTGTTGCATCACGCACACGCTAAAGTATAACTCACCCAGGAAAAACCATTCGCTTTTCTTAATTTGATTTTCACTCGATATTTCATTAATTGATTGCGAGCTTCGAAATAATTCGGTTTCATAACCATTTTGCAGACCAGAGTTGCGTTACGAAATATTGCGAGAGATAATGAACGCCAAAGTAGTGCACACGAGGTTCGCTAGTGTGACAGAGATACTTACATTCCCGCTTTCTCATACAGGTCTCTAATCTAGCTTCGTAATCTAACAAACCTTAATGTAACTTTGGCGTAATCTGCTAGACTCCGGTGTACTCTTCTTTGCTAGCTCCTCGCTCTATTTTTAATCATTTAGATGGCTAATTCTATTATACATATCTATTATACTGATTACGTATTATATATATTATTATGTGTTACTTTATTATAAATGTTATATCCTTCATTCATTCTTTTTATAAATAAAAATTTAAAAATTAAATAAGAAATTAAATAATTGACAAAAAGGCAAATAAGAATACGGCACGGTACTTAGTGCGTAAACATCCGAAGAGTTTAGATGTATAAGTAAATTATATTTAAATTGTTATTACAAATTTATATATTTTGCTCGCATTTAAATCACCTAAAAATATTAAATTTGTACGCCGTTAATAGTATAATAAATGTTAAAATTATGGTATAATCAAATTTATTTTATATTTAGTTCAAAAATTTAGTATTTTTTCTTTTCGCTTTTTATTATTAGAATCAGAATTATGAACTAATGTATTGGGCTTATAATCTGTTGATTTATGCTGTGTTCTGACAAGATGATCTAAATCAACAACAACGATGATTCAGGATAAATTTTCCTTTTATACTTTATAACGAGCATGTCTATTCATTACGACACAGAATAAAAGGAAAGTTTATCCTGAATCATCATCGTTGTTGATTCTGATTATCCCATCAGAATATATAGAATATATCAACAATAAGAAAAGATATCAACGATATGACCGCCGAGATATTTAAAATTACAAATGAGTTTATCGTGTTTCCCATGTTCTGTTTTGTTCACATTCTATTTGCTTTTTAAGTTATGAACATCTCGTTAATTCTTTCTTTAATTTTCTGATAGACATCATAGCCGCCTCTCTAAAGTCTTATCTTTCGCGTGTATCTCCATCATGTTCGCATAGCACACTCATCTATCCTGTCAACTATCATTATCATCTCGTACATAAAATAAACTATTATTATTATTAAATTATTGTTATTATTATTACTTTTAAATTTTAAAAACGAAATTTTTTTCATTGGCAAGTTATTGCTTCTGGAATAATTTATTTTGATGGAAAGAGGGAAACTCTTCTCAAAGAAGGAAACAATTTACTAATAATGAGCGTCTAATAATAGAGAATCTCGCAGAAAAATAACGACGAAATTCAGTGTTATTCGCAAATATTCCTTCATACAGATATTACATCACGGCTGCCTAAGTAGGTGACCAACGAGGACGAATCCGCGATGAGGGCTGCAGGCTAGTACGGGGAACGCAGGACGAGGCGAGTCGACGAGACGAAGATGCTACCGGGTGAAAGCATGGGTCAGCGTAAAGGCCAGGTACCGCATATCTAACCCGATACATACAACCCGCACATATCTCTAACTCGCGCAATTACACGCGCGCGAGTTAAGTTCAGTTCAGTTCGGCTGAAAGAAGAGCTATTTCCTTCTTGCTTTCCTCTTCTATGATGCGAACTCGCGCGCGCGCGATGTATTGCCACATTCGCATGCGAATAATGTGTGGCACGGAACGGTATCTATGTACACATTAGGAATTATGCATTGCGATTTTGCGGTAGATAATACGTGGACGTTTCATGAATGTATTGTTTCGTCGCATCTCTGTCGCAACGATGCAGGATTTTATTTCGCCGACTTGTATCCCGAATTTTAATTTTATGCCGAGTATAATAAAGAAATTTCATTAGAATTGTATCAAATACAAATAATATATTTTGTCAAATATAAGAAAGAATAGAATAAATATAGAATAAATGGTAATATTAAATATATTAGATATGTTTAAATATTAATATGTTTATATAT